AGGCTGAGAAGCCAAACAAGCTCCACGCCGGGTGTGGGCTGAGCGAAAACCCTCTGGTCCTGGCTCTTCTCCTTGGGTTGGCGATCCGACCGCCAGGGCTGAAGTTCTGTCCAATGTGTCTTTTCCGCTTCCTTGTGGGAACTCCGTTTAAAGGAAGAGCTGTCTGTGCGTTATAGACACACAGGTCCAAGTAAGCTATAGGGAATTTTAAGACGACTGCAGTTCTCAGGATGCGATTACAGCTCGAGGACCAAGCGATTTTAGCGACTCAGAAAGCATTTTAAAACTTCAGTGAAACAAAGCTTAACCTGACTTGCCATTCCAACTAACCTGGTTAAAGGTTGATGAGATAGTGATTAACCAAGTGTATCAGATCTTGCGGGGGGGGGGGGCTGTTTACTTTCTTACAGCAACTTTCTTGCAAACTAGGTTGCTCTTTTAATAAAAGAGAAAAAAATGCTAAAAGCTGGAGAAACTTCCCAATAAGCTGGTTAAATATAGACTAATAGTAGAGAACTCACTAGAATTGACAAGTCAGAAAAAGCAAAATGATGCGTACGGCATTCTTAGTGCTTTGCCTTAGCAGAACTCAGCATCTAAACTACATTTTAATCTTTGCATAAGGAGACATTTGTGCTAACTCACAAGCAGTTCAATGCTCTTGTAACTTCTCAGGGCTCTTTTGTAAATCACTTTTCACTCTGATTTTAAAGCTGGGGTTGTGGTGGGAGTCTTCGTTAGTAGGGTGTTTAGATTGCTGATATGACAACTCATAGCTGGCATTTCAGAGGTTTGAGCAATCATTCTCAAATTGGAATCAGTGGCCAGAGTCTTCCCGGTATCCGAAGTGTTCCCTGTTTGGGGAAATGCTTAGGAAAAAAAACTCGATGCATTATTGTTGTAGTTCTTTAAGTGGCATCCAGCCAGCTTAAAAGAAAATCAAATCCCCAAACACATGCTCTCTATCCTCTTTTCATGTTTTATTTTTCTTCATAGCACTTATCACTGTAATATAACCTATATTTTACTCCTTTACCTTGTTGCTCTTTCCCAACCACAATGTAAGTTCAGTGAGGCCAGGGGTTTTTCTTTTGTTCATTACTGTGTCCCTGGCAGCCAGAAAACAAGTGCCTAGTGGTTTAGCGAATGTGAAGGAGGGACTGCCTGCTTTTCTGCCACAGCCGATTGGACATTGGAAGGTTGGCCCTGTTACATTTCCACTTCAGATGCTCAGTTATCCCTGACTGAGAAGAGCATGGGAGCTGCTTTCTCCCTCCAGCTTTTACTCTTGCAGCTGTGCGTTGTTGTAGATGACTTGATCTTGGCTTCAGCTCACTAGTCTGATAAGTGAGGGATAAAATGTGTCTTCATCTCATTTAATCTTCGATCCATCCTGTGAAGGAATATGTAATAATGCTTTGAACATGGCACAGGTCTGTACATAAGTCTATAAAAGGTGGTAGTATTCTCTACTCTATCTGCTGAATTATGAAAGCTGGAGTATCCACTTGTGACATGGTGGCACACAATGAGAATATTTAGTTATGTGAAATGCTATTTATTTAATACAGTAATTTAGGTATGAAATATTACTAATCAAAGTAGAGGAGCCGGAAAGGACTTCAGATGTCCAGTTCAATTCTGTTACTTTCCACAACAAGAAAATGGGGCTCAGTGGACATCAGTGACTTGTCTTACGACGAGGTTATTGGTGCTTAATGGTTGAACTAAGATTAGATGCCAAGCTAATGACACCATGTCTCCTACTCATTTACTATACCAACTTAGAGCATTACTTGTATTTACTTATTCTTTGTGTACACTCTACTACTTGCTGACATATACTGTGTTATGATTTCAAGTGCTTATCAAGTACTTTCATATACTGTCTCATTTTGATTTTCTTTTTTCTTTTTATGAATTTTAGAAGACGTTTATGAAAGCCGGGGACAGTGAAACAAGGAAGGACTGGGGAAATGAGCCTACGCTGCTCTGCTTTGGCTCATTAAGTCAGAGAAAAGGGGCCTTGGGAACAGGTTTAGGGAGTTTGTCTGGGACAAATTGCTGCTGCCCATCATGGGGTCTCCGAGTTTAGGAGATGCATGCCTGTGGGGGAAATGGGGTGAGGGGCAGCGTGGGCGTGCTCTTGGGAGGAAGACCACACCTTGATTTTTATTTTCAGCCATCTTGTGCTGTAGGTAGGGCAGGTGGATATTTTTGAGGTTTTGCAGATAAACATGAATCAGTCAATGTATGTGTGTGTTTCAGTGACTAATTGCTCGAAGTTTATTTGGCTATTGAAGTGGTAGAATGTTCTTGGGGGGTCTTTTAAAATTATTAATCTCAAGGCCACTTAAAAGTAATTTGACTAATCTGTATTACTTAGGAACAAAGTGTTTAGTAATTTTACGATATTAACGATATTGGGCTTTTAGAATATTTTAGAGGCCCAGTGCACGAATTCATGCACCTTGAAAGGAACTATGGGCCACAAGGCTGCAGTGGGCACAGGGGCGGATCTCAGCCCATCCTCTGCGCCCCTGCCCAGCCCCTCTCACCGTGGCCCCGGTCCCCTGTCTGCAGGCAGCCCCGCTCCTGCCGTTGCAGCTCCCACATGCTGATGGTGCTGGCCCTGCCCCCGCTTGTACCCGCTCACAGCACAGAGCGATTGGGGTCAGCGCCAGCAGTGGGTGTAAGCGGGGCTGGCGCCATCAGTGGCTGCTGCCCCGATCGCCTCTCAGGAGCAGAAGGAAGTGGAGAAGCCCTCAGGGGAGATTGGGGCCAGCAGCCACTGCTCACACCTGCTGACGGCACGAAGTGATCAGGACCCGTGCCAGGCGCCTACAGTGGGTGCAAGCGGGGCCGGTGCCGGCTGCTGACTCCGATTGCCTCTCAGGAGCAGGGAGAGGTGGAGAAGCCCTGAGGGGCAATCAGGGCTGGTAGCTGCCACTCGTGCACCCGCTGCTGGTGCTGAGTGATCAGGGCTGGCACCAGGCGCCAGCAGCAGGTGCAAGCAGTGGCTCCAGCGCAAGTAGCAGGTGCGAGTGCCAGGCGGGAGCAATGAATTTCCAGTAACCACCAGAGGCTCGCCCACTTTGGTCTGGCCACCCCGCTTACCTGCTCTACTATCCCGCCACGGTCGACGTCCGCCATGTTCCACGCTCTGCCACCTGCTGCCAACGCCCGCCATGTTCCACGCATGCCCCCTGGTGGTCAACGCATGTCATAGTGATTGGTTGTTTGGTTGTTCCGCCATTTGGTCTATTTGCACATTAGGGTGTTAGATATAGATATAGATATAGATATAGATAGATATAGATATATAGAGATATAGATAGATCTGTTTTGTTTGAACAGAACTTTAAATAATTATATTGAAACAAAATGAATTTGTATATTCCAGAATTTGATGTTTCTTACTTTCCCTTTTGAAGCTTAAGCATTTAGGTCTGTGATGTTATTAATATATGGATTGGGTTTTCAAAAGTTTGCTAGTCTCCAAAGTTTTATAAAAATCTGAGTTTTGTTTAAAGTCTATAGTTAGCCTAGTTTTAGTAACTGTCATAAGCTTCTGAAGGTATATGTTTTGGAAACAATGTTGTATATTGCTTCTATACAATCCAACTTTGTAAACTAGGAATTAAAGCAACTCATTTGCATACTTTCTACTTACTATAGAAAAGTCTTTTCACCTAACTTACTGGTTTAATCTTTTCCTGTGCTTTTTCTTCAGTTTAGCATTTGTTTTTCCTCTTGATCATCTTAACAATCAAACCGCACTAGAAAGGCTTTTCGGTATAAAAGGAAAAAAAACAGAAAACTCAACTTTAGCAACAGAACCCAATTGATAACCTGAAAAAAGGTTGTGTAGAGTATGTCATATAGCCTTAGGATACAGATGCTACGGGAAGTCAGGCAGGACCTTGTGTAGCCCATCATGTAAGTGAGATGCTGTTTTCCCAACATACCCACTTCCCAGCTTCTCCTCATTCTGATCTCTGAATGACATTTTTCCTTTGATTTAATGGGAAAAATGAAATCTAAACGTAGCTGATGACCTTTAAGAATGACGAAGTTGATTCATGGACCTAACGACCCACAGAATCTTTCCATTCTCAGCAACTCTGAGACCTTCTGGGAAAGGTTCCCTGAGGCTTACAGGAAATTTCCCTTTCTTCTGAATATTGCAAAGTTTGCTCATGTCCGAGGCTCTTCTGCTCTGGCACAATCCCATAGATCTGATTTGGAGTTCAGACTCCTTTCTCTTGTGAGCTGTGGTTCTTGGGGAGTAATGTATGTGAAAAGGTTTTGAAAGTGGATTGCTTTGTGATTCTGCAGTAACATAGTGGCTCTGTGCAGGTTCCAACCCTGTTTTTGCTTTTGAGAATTTCAGTTTTTCTGGGGAATGTTTAGCTTTTAGTACTGGAGAGTAAAGGAGAGATCTCCTCTACTCCCAAGATCTTGAGATCCTTTGATGAGTCAGCCAACAACAAGAATGGCAGTCCCCTCCCCCGCTCAAGGTTTTTATAGAAAGCTGTTCTGATGAGAGTGGAGGGGAGACATTGGGCCTAGAATCCAACCTAAGTCATATTGGACAACTTTTCTGAGACTCAGTTTCCTCATGTGCAGAGTGAGGTTGGTTGGGCTACAGGAATAGCAAAGCCCCTGTAAGTCTAAATTGTGTGGCTCTAGGCTATTTTTGTTGTGTTTTGTGTGTGTATGGGGTCTATTTCTGTTCATTTAAGTTTTGTTACATATTGTATATTTAAGTTTTGTTATATATTGACAAATATGTAACAAATGTATCATTTAAGTTTTGTTATACATTGACATTAAAGCATTCCCTTTGCCCTGTCATGTAGGCCTTCTTGGTGGGGTACTCTGCTATATAAACCCAGCCCTGAAGAGTTGTTTTGTAACAAGCATTTATTTTATGCTGCTAATCTGGATGTGTTCCAGGGCCTATATTAAATATAAAGTTGACTCATAGATGATGCTGATGAAACTACTTAAGGAGACTAATATGATCTCTCTAGGAGTCCAAGTTTCATAGTAACATAGAAATTATCATCCTTTCTTTGGGTACCTGAAATCTGCCCTGTAGTTGATGGGCACCAAGGTCCATTGGTATTGTACGCTGTGTGCAGAGCATGCTAGTAGTCCCCAAGTCCCCTTTCTTCCACTTGTGCT